TCAGCAGTGAGCATATCCTGTATAAAATTCATACGCGCTGCAATGATGTTACTGTTTAATTTCATAATGATTATATCCGACTCCACTCCAGACTTATTCTAAGACATGTAGTACAAATAGGGTCTGTAGAGCTACAGTTTACACAGGTAAAATAACTTTTTAAAATGTCAGCAATGGTACTGAATGTAATATACTTAAGTAGGCATTTCTGCTGATAGTACGCACTAAATGCAGTAGTGAAATGTTCGTATCAGTCAAGTTTTATTGTCAGACGCCTAACACATGGCTGTTATTACAATTCAGTATTTCACTTAAAGGATTTAACACTACTTAACTCCGACTACTCCCTTCACTAAACGGCTGAAATTTTCAGAGTATGTAGCATGCATGAACGAATCTTCATGAGTACATACCGAATTTCCTACTTATAATTTAGTTGGAAGAATATGGAAACCACGATCTTTGATAAACAACAAGTGAATGTTGTTGGTATTGTTCCAACCGAATTCTTCAGTTGGTTTGGTTGTTGCTTGGTTGAAAAGGCCTTCATGTGTAAATGAAAACTGAAATCTTGGATACAGATGTTGGCAATACAGAGTGAAATGTAAGTTAAGGCATTTTCCATTTCTCATTTAATATGATGTGGGGAAAAAATTTTTATTTGGCTAATACTTGAGTTCTTACAATTACTGAATTCTAAGTTCATAATACTCATGAATGTTATCCGTGTATAATATAATTATTCATGTCATTTGTCAGTGACAATGACCTCTATTAACAGTATTTATCGCGTGTGCATACCATTTCAAAGAACCTGATCCACAACCCCAATGTATCAGTTATTTATGAGTTTAGGAGCTGCCCTAACGCTCGACAAGTTTGTTAGGACTATGAAGGTCGAGGTCAATGCTGAATATCATTGAACAGCAGGTTACTAATTTTGGGGAGCTATTTGCCTTTTCAGCTCACTGTCATCCTAGTGGGTTTCACCATTGTTAAAAAAAATATTCTGATGGGTTAACTAGAATGATTGGCCCCTGGATGTCAGAACTTATTTTAGGGTTTCGGTGCGAACTATACTACAGTTATTAAGTGGGTAGGTCAATCTCAAGTTCCAAGCTTCTCTGACTTTCAAACCAGTGTTCATTGTAAGTGGAATAGAAAGAAAACTTGTAATACTGTGATAAAAGTTTACGAAAACAAATATCAAAAAGATGAGCGATTCACAGGTAACTAAGCGTCAATGGAGAACTTAACACTGATTTAAAAACGAGCTTGACAACCTGTAAGAGAAAAATGATAACTTCAATGATAAGAACTGGTGAGAAAAACTGCTTTCTCAGTAAAAGCGGTGAGATAAAGAAAAGGCAAAATAATTGAAGCATGTTTGTTCACGAAATAAATGGAGCATGACTAAACATATGCAATCTAAAATACAATACAAGTATAAATTAGGTTAACATACTTCTTGAAAAATATGAGCACCATAAAAAGTTAAAGAATTTCTCACGACAGCGGTTCTTAAAACTATGACTATGAATTTATTCCTGCAAAGACGTGGACAGTTTGACAAAGCCCACATGCACTTATGAATTTCACTTAATAAATATTATACCACCACGTTAGTACAGAAATCATCATATCCATTGGTCTCAATTTGCACATTTGTTTTGTTACGGGATGACGAATATTATTCCCGAAAATAATTTCATAAGTCAAATACTAGTGATTTCCAAAGTCAGTTTACGCACAGATTACTAATTTCCCTCAACCAATTACATTGCAGTCGATTCCAGTTCTGAGGCAGAAAAATAGTTTCCACCCCCGATGAAAATAACTTTAATTACAACGTAAAAATGAAACATTCAGGATGCCGTTTCGATTGACCTTTTCACATTTTCTACAACGTAACCTTCAAATGGTTTGATTTATTCAAAAACACTAACCTCTCGATAACTTCGGTGGACAACAGCTGAAAAGAAGAGTGCGTCATATCTAACGTTGCAATTTCCAAAAACGCATGATTTTTCCATTTAACGTCAGACATACACCCACCATTCCGATTACCCTGCAAATCACAGGTGCACAAAACAAGATGACATGCGTTGGAAAATACTTCCCATAAACCTGATTCTTTTGCACGAGATTCATCTGTTATGAAACCATTCAGTCTACGGCTACCAATAAAACCCTTGGAAAAACTGCGAAAACTCACTGGTAAGTTCAGCCGTTTGACTGTTGATGAAAACAAAAGCGATGGAGATAGTTATAGAGTTTATTTCAATGGCTACCACCTAGCAAGGAATGAGATTTTCATTATTTATCTTATACGTTCCATCAAGACAGACAAGATCATGACAATTGCCAGCAAACTTCATCTAGTCGGCTAGCTGTAGCGAAGAAAACACTGCAGATCTCCATCCTCATTTGGGCGGGGAGGAAAACCGATCCACTGTGACCAGTTATGCGCTCTTGCAGCTTTTCATAACTGCCCGAATGAAAGTGAGTGCAAGGGAAAACTCACATACTCATCAAATCACACTGAAGAAAGAGGTGATGGCGCATTTTCATTATTCAGCCAGTTGTCATGCTGTGCGTGACCAAAATCAACTGTAGTAAACGCAGCCGTACCAGATATCAACAACAGCCTAACGCTGTAATGTTCAACGTTCGTCAACTTCCCAGTCTAACAGATATTGTCATGAGGCAGAGAGTTGTAGAGATGATTGTGAGTCAACAATCACTGAGTTATTGTTCAAAAGCTGACTAGAAACTTGGTGAACACAAACTCTAGACAATTATATTGGAGGTATAATCTACAAAGTATCCACTGAAAACACACCGAACTGACCTTTCCACCTGTTATTCATCTAGTGATCGGCATCCTCTTTCCTTCTACAAACCTGAACTTTATGTAAGGTCTTCCATCACCTTAAAACATGAATCTTGCACAGCTTAGTGCGTGTACGCTTTCACGTCATACTCTTTCAAGGCGTCTTTCCAATGATGGAAATACAGAGAGACAAAACGCTTCATGAATACGCGTTCCTTATTGAATGCAACCTTTGGAACAGTATTGTCACTGATGATTAAAATTCGGTACCTACCTGGGTTTTAATAACTTCTGTCCAACGACCGTAAGTGGGGATTAGTTGGAACCCTATTTCACGTATTTGGAATGATATGTTCCATTGATCAGGTGGAGGGAGAGATGCGAACAGTCGAAAGATGTCTACGGAACAATGGATATCCACAAGCATTTATCAACAGATGTGGAAAAACAGAAGATGAAATTCGAAGGAAGCTGTAGTCAGTGAAAAGCCTGTATTCATTCGCCTCAATTTCAAAGATGATGACATCGAAGACACTATTAACATATGGTTGAAGATTTCACTGGCCAGAACTTTGCCTGTAGCCAGGTTAACTTCTGTATACCAAACAATGTGTTCCTGAGGCCGATCAAAAGTCGACGAGTACCTTTCCTATGTTGCCCCCAACTGGGCATATCAATCGACGTTTATCTGACGAAGCAGGTATATTGCGAAAGGGGAAAGAACGGTGTATCTGAGATCTCCTGAATACATTTCAAATAGTCTACGACTCAGAGGAAGTGACAGTTTGAACTAGTTCAATCAGCCGGCATCTGATTGACACTGGACCTCAAGCAGATGTCTTCAAGTTTTTCGAGATAATAAACAGACAATTAACCTCAATTCTCCTGAAGTGCACTGAGATCACAATCATCAATCCTGCTTTATTTGTTCGAAAAGAAACTATAGTCAACCTCCGTCTACGACGACTACCCTTCTTCACTGCTATTTGGTTACGTCATACCATGTCAAATTTAAATGCTCATCCCTTCACTCTTACTTAATCGCATCATCTTTTGTTCATGTCAAATGTTCTTAACTAACTGAGTTTAACTCGCAATATTTTGCTTATTTGTCGAATGACCTACCTACATAATTTTACAGTGTTAAGTTCTTCGACTTGGACTGTTGTTCATGTCGAAAAACCTCCATTGAATTGTGACAATTTGTCACCACTTATTAACTTGCAACGAGTTTGCGGTTATGACTGACCTTAAATCTATGAATATTTCTATTCTTTTAACCTCTGACCTATATTCTGCAAACAGCTGACAAGATGCTAACGGAGTAAATGGGTCCGTTTCGTCTTGATCTCATAGTTATTCGTGCTCTTTTCGGATCCGTGTTTTGCTATGTAATTATCAAATTTGGTGCTACCGATCTGATAACACGTTTCTTCGTCAGTTTCGTGTAGACGATATGTTGTATAGGGAATTGACTGAGGGGCGAGTTGAAACATTTGAAATCAAAGTTAAATATTTCCACCATTATCAAAGCAATTCACTGTTTCAAGCTTGCCTACTTCGAATATTCCTTCCTGAGAATAACTTGGCAATTTTCAGCTAACTACTTCTATAAACTATCCAGCCATCATGTACAATCACTCATCCTGTGTTCAGCAGACTTAAAAGACATATACTCATTTACTAAAATGCAATATTTCGCAAAAAGTATGTGGTCACATGTTTCAACAACTAGATAACATGAAAATCAAAACATTTAGCTTCATTTAAATAAATGCTATTCTCTTTAATGATAATAAACTAGAGTTCAATGAAGTTAATTTGTACATATTCTTATATTTGTATATTTTTCTCTCTAATTTCAATCGAATAATGCAACTTGTGATGAAATAAAACATTTTCTCTGGCTTTTAATGGATTTTCATGATTTTGAATACAAAGGAAAGTTGAAAAAAACACAAAAGTAATCAAACGTTTCAGAACACTGTGAATTAGATGAACATTGGAAGAAGGAATGAAAGAGAAATGAAGAAAATTGGGAGTCAGTCTTGAAAGCATAAAGAAACAAATTCACACTGTCATCATCATCATATTGAATTTATATATTTTCCGTAAAATGTAACTGATTATCGTGTCTCGTTCTTTCTTGAGATAAATCAATTGTCAATCAATCTCTTAATATACGATAAGATCCAACGTATGTTTTACAACTCGGACATTTGTGGTCAACATCCTTACAAGCATTTACACAGAACGGTATTAGGCAACAACCGCAAGAGCCGCTTGTTTGGGAAAAAGTGGAGAGAAGGAATTAGTAACAAGCTACTGTTGTGTATTTAAATAAGCGAGATATCTTTGTATTTATTCATTTCAGTCAGCACATAAATAAAGTATGTTGGTAGTGGTTAAGTTGTAGAAAATGACTCCCTGAGTCAAGTGTCATCATGAGACAGGCGTTTATGCGGTAAAACAGGCTTCGGAAGAAAGCGCAACTCGTTAGCTGTAGTTTGTCCGCTTGGAAAGAGAACAATGAATTCGGTAATCGATATTGGCTTACATAGCTACTGAACACTATGAGATGTTACACTCCTCTTTCCTTTTAATAAAAGCCACAAATAACGATAGATGTCTGCACTGAATCAAGTGTTATTACGTGTTACTGCTTTATAGTCAACCAGACGATGATATTCGAAAGTGAATAGCGAGACCGAAACAAAGCTGGGAAAATCGAGATTACAATTCCTGAAGCCAAAGTCTATTATTAGTGACTACAATCGAGAGATTACTGTCAAGTAACAACGGACTCAATGTTTGTGATACAGTTATTTCGATGAAAAGGTGAGATGACCACTGAATATCACTTGCATCCTGAAGGTTGCTAGACAAACATGAATATTCAATGGAAATTGTGTTATACGTGAACCATATTCTTGAATTCACAAAAGTCAACTGAATTCTGGAACAAGTACACACCGGTGTCCATATAAATCCTCTGATCGACCCCTGGAAAGTAAGCATGAACTGACGATTCAGTCAACAGTCATTTAGATCATATTGAACGCATAACACCTAAGGCAAGTTAGTGAAGAGATGTGTGTTTTTTGTTGGTAAATTTAGGATTATTTATTATCTATAGATCCTACGTCATGCACTAGAAGCTGAATCGACATCACCGTATTCAGTTATATGCTAACTGTTCATTTTGAGTTGCACAGTTCCCCTAGGAAATTATTTATCAATTGCTCATTATTTTTCAGTCTATTGAAAACGCTGTAACATTTGGTGTTTGGTCAAGTTCAGCACCAAGTTAGTCGCGACTTCAGTAGTTTGGTAGTGAAGTCTGTGACCTCAACACAGTGTGACGAATCTCCTAATATCTGATGGAGTATGCATTTCTAGAATGTCTCGGAAACGCGTCATTGGCTATTGCTAACATCGTGAAAGCCAAATACCAGAAGTGATGCTAACTAGCTAGCTCTCAGCACTAGAACCGCAGAACATCACGATTTCACATCACTTGTCTTGCCGACTTTATTACGAGTTTGATTTGTTAGGGATTGACTGACATATCGGTTATTATCCATTTCTTTGACCGGTCCATGTAAATCTATTATTCAAATGCTAATAAGAATCAGATCCTCTTACAAAATCATTAGTGAAAATATTGAGAATCATTTCTGATCTAACAGTCTGTCAAATTTGTGAATTTTATCTGTATACTTTTTCACAATCACAGCAGGTTGTCCCCATGCAAATCACCAGTAAAATTCAAGACAACGATTTATCTGAATACTTACGTACGTTGCAGTAGTATTCAGTGAAGCATCAAGTTTATAAGAATAGTTATCGAATTCCTCAGGAAATAAACTCAAAACGTGTTAGTCCTTCTTACCATCTTTGAATAGAATCCATGTACAATTCATACGAACTGCATCTTGGGATATCTGTGAACAGATCACCAACATTCTCAATTAAGTGCTTTCTCGCAATTGAATAAAGTGCGGAAGACACCGAATTTAGACATTCAGTATACAATTTAGCTTACTGTTGACTACCCAGCAGTAGTATATCTTCGAGATATTATCAGAGATATTTGGTTTAGCAGAGATTATGGAAACACCAACCAGTGTTAGACAGTATAAGAGAACTATGCTTCAGTTTTACAGCAAGAAACTGACAGAAATCTGTATCTACAAAGCTTCATCAATGCATCATCACTCAAGCCTTCATTTTACCAGAAGAGTGTATCAGACTTTAAAAGCTTCCAACAATAACACAAATACATGAATGCATGGTGTGTTGTTTAATCGCAGATAAATACTTGAACACCAAATCTCACTTCCCGCTATTCAATTTTTTGTCTTATTCCTCAAGGATACTAGATCCATTCAATTCTGAATCTGGAAATAATTCAGTAATAGCGTTATCATCCCGCAAAAGCTTTTTACTGGACACGTCAGGTGTCTTCGATTCCTATGTGTAGACACTGTTCATATTTTACAGAATAGTATGTGTTTGTCAAAGGCTGTATATAGCTGATGTTGGCCAAAAAGATGAAATTAATTGATGTGATTACGCCATCAGTGTATTGGGTGACAATTGTTTCCATCCTCATAAGAAGTTTCAAGAAACTGATAAAATCAAATGGAAAACACCAACGTACCCAACAAAGAATATACCCACGCAAGCTAGGTATGTTAGAAGACCATTGTGATACTCTAGTGTTGTGGAGATCTCTTTCCGACAGGAAGGACATTTTAGGTGGACTGGCAAATTTCTGAATGGTTGTCGAATCTCTGGCTGGGTGGTAATGATCAGTGGATAGCTAGCAGCAGCAGCAGCAGCAGCAGCAGCAGTAGGCAGTTTAAAGTCTGTGGAAGTAAATGTCGGGGAGATGATTAAGATTTAAAATGTACTCTGAAATGGATGAACGTGAAGTTATGGAAGAATTAAGTTTCTTTAATATACCTAACTGAATGATGAAGAAGGTGGAAAACCCACAAGTTGTTAGGTGGTTTTAAATAATTTACTATTTTCTTGCGATTCTCTTCATATTCACACTACATGCTTATATATAGTCTTACTTTTACAATGGAACGAAACACAAAAGGTACCAATGCATGAAGAAACTACTTGGACTGACGAAATAATTCTACTCACCATGTTCAGCTAGCATACTTCTATGTGAAGAGGCAGTTTTTGAAATTAAAGAAGTGCGTGGTAAACTCCAATGGTTATTAGATATGACTGCAGTATTTTTCCTAGAAATATTTTACCAACGATGTTCAGTGTCAACGAAAATATGTTTAACATGCATGCATTGCATTTTAATATACTTATTGTGTAATGAGTACTGGTGGTAGTGGTAGTAACAGTCAAGAGCATTGTTGTCACCGATAATCCGATTGGTTAATTTGATCCACCTTACCTTGTTATCATCATCCGCCTTCGTTATTTTATCTAGATCATGAAATGATGACCGAGTCATTATGCAATATTGAAAGCACGCTGTCTAACGAATGAATGAATGCACTTTGAGTAATTGTATGAATAATTAATTAAATGGAGTTAATTATCCTTTCAGTTCAATACAATCAGATATGTGAATATAGAAAATTCTCTAGTATCTTATTGGATTATTCCTACTTCTTGAGTGAATCAGTGTGGCAGCCTGTAATGTTAAGATATAGGGCATATTTTGTCCACACGAGTGACAATCAAAAAGTGTGATTAATACAGGAAGTATTCTAGGTGCTGTGTAGAATACAATCACTTCCAAAATAGAGTATATTTGAAGGATATTGTTGACACATATATGGCAAGTAAGTAATGAGGAGTCCCATACTAGGATGAGACAGCTGTCCAGTGCTCCCAAGATTTTAGTGTTTCTCGAATTGATGTCAGTCCACGATGAACACTAAGCTGAAATCAATAAATGAATACCCACAAACCCATAAAACTGAAGTAGTGAAGACCTGCACTTCAAATAATCACGTGGAAAAGATAACGATGTCGAATGAAGATTTGATATTTATCATGGATGGTGACTGGCAGTAGAATCTAGAACGCACACTTCACTCTGGCATTTGAAGCTATTAGTCTTGAGTTTGAGCATCAGTTGGAACAACATCACTCACTGACAGGTACGTATACCCAGCTGACGAGTACCAAGTAGGATGGAACACGCCTCCTGTATCCCGTTACTAGCCACTGGCCATGATTATTGCCAGATTTCAAAATACCGGCTACATAGAGGCCTCCGTACAAGAGCTCGTGTCTCAATAGTGGGCGATCAGTTGAGTTCACTCAATGACGCAGATTCACAATTTATATCATCAAAGACCTCCCCAATGAAGGTACTTCTTCTTACTGTTAGGACACTAATCTTTTATTAAATAAATCAATGAAAATCTACACATTAGGAAATGAATTGTTGTATTACAAGTAAGTTTTGTATTGCAAAGCTTATACACAACGATAAGTTTTCATTTTGGCAATATGTCGAGCTGTGATCACGGGCAGTTATTTTGCTCGAAATACTACCAAAATGAAAACGTATCACTCAGTGTAAAATTTGCGCTTAAAATTCGCTTATAATACTTTATTATTGCTCACAATTATTCGTCCTGTGAGAATAAGGTTAGATGATTTCGTCAACAGACGATAGTCAAGATCGCTGTCAAGTTCTAAGAGCTGGTTAAAGTATATCCATCCCGCTTACAATGTGGTCATCAAATTAGGTCGAATTGACAGTGTGGTGGACTTCAATTGGAATTAGTAGTCAGTTGGTGGGAATTCCTGTTTGATCTTGATTTCATGCTCGTGTTGCACCATGTGTTTATTATTTATTATTATTAGTCCCTTGGGTTCCTAGTGGAACATAGGGCTTCAGTAGCACGCCTCCAGTGACCTCTGTTCTCTGAGATCTTTTGAACCTGGTTCCACGACAGCCCACAAGCTCTCATTTCCTCCTCGCATGACCTCCTCCATGTCACCCTCGGACGTCCAACTCGTCGCTTCCCATGGGGATTCCACTCGAGGGCCTGACGCGTGATGTCCTCAGTCGGCCTTCTCAGTGCATGGCCAATCCATCTCCACTTCTTCCTGCATATTTGTTGCGTGATAGGTTCTTGGTTGGTTCGTTCCCAGAGTTCCTTGTTGCTTATTTTTTCTGGCCATCTGATCTTCAGCAGCGAGCGTAAGCAGTTGTTGATGAATGTCTGTAGTTTATTGGAAATGCCTTTCGTGACGCGCCAAGTCTCTGAGCCATACAAGAGCACTGACTTGACGTTGGTGTTGAAAATCCGTATCTTGTTCCGCATGCTGAGTGCAGAAGATCTCCACACTGGTTTCAGGCTAATGAACGCCTGTCTTGCTTTTCCGATTCTGACTTTGACGTCCTCGTCCGTCCCGCCTGTAGTTGAAACAGTGCTTCCTAGATAAGTGAAGGAGGTTACTTCCTTCAAGTTTCTCCCGTTGACGGTGATTGGAGTTTGTTGTTGTTGTTGTTGATGGTGGTGGTGCGGTATCTTCATCACTTCTGTCTTCTCTATATTCACCTGAAGTCCCGTCTTAGCTGCCTCTTCTGTCAACTTGTTAGTTTTTGCCTGCAGATCTTCAAGTTTATGTGACATTAGGCATAAGTCATCGGCGAAATCCAAGTCTTCTAGGTTCTTTTCCGTCGTCCAGTGTATCCCCCTCTTCTCGCTGCCTACTGTTTGCTGCATGATCCAGTCCACCACAATAAGGAATATCATGGGGGATAGTAGGCAACCTTGTTTCACTCCTGTCTTCACTTCAAAGGCATCACTGAGCTTCCCATTGTGGATTACTTGGCATGTGGCATCTTCATATAGTTGTTGAATGAGGCGGATAAAGGTTTGCGGTACTCCGTAGTATTGAAGCAGTTTCCAAATTACTTCTCGGTCGACGCTGTCAAAGGCCTTCTCAAAGTCGATGAAGTTGAGGTAGAGAGCTGATTGCCATTCTACGCTCTGTTCTATGATGATACGAAGCGTTGCAATTTGGTCAGCACATGATTTGTACTTCCTGAAGCCTGCCTGTTCCGGTCGCAGTTTTGAATCCAGTGCGTCTTTAAGCCTCTCCAGGATGATGCGGCTTAATATTTTACTTGGGGTGGACAGGAGAGTGATTCCGCGCCAGTTCTTGCAAGCACTGAGGTCTCCCTTCTTCGGCAGTTTGACAAGGTAACCCTTCTTCCAATCGTCAGGTACCTTCTCTTCCTTCCACACCTTCTGCAATAGTGGTGTGAGCATGTCCGCTGTTGTCTCTGCATCTGTTCTCAGTGCTTCTGGCGGTATTCCATCTGGTCCTGCTGCTTTCCCGCATTTCAGTAGCTTTATGGCGTTCAGGACTTCCATTTTCGTTGGGGGATTTATGTTCACTTGTAATTCAGCGGCTGCAGGTGGTATTTCTGGACGAAGTGCAGGTGGTGGTCGATTCAAGAGCTTCTTGAAGTGGTCGGCCCATCGTTTCCTCTGTTTCTCTTCTTTTGTAATTAAATTTCCTTCTTCATCTTTTATTGGTTTCATCTGTGTTGGTCTCTTCCCTGATAGCAACCTGGTTATTTGATACAATGTCGTCAGGTCTCTCTTACCTGCAGCCTGTTCTGCTTCACTTGCCAGTGTGTCGTAGAAGTGTCGTTTGTCTTTGCGTGCACTCTTCTTCACTTCTTTATCCAGTGTTTTATACATTGTGCTCAGTTCCTCTTGTCGTTGAGCATCCTTGCACTGGTTTATCTTCTGCTTCACCATCCTCCTCTCCTCTATCAGCTTCCAGGTATCCGTCGAGATCCATTCCTTGTCTTCTTCTTCTTCCTTCCTAATACTGTTGTGCAGGTTTCTTTCCACATAGCTTTCAAAGACTTCCAGTGTTCTTCCACACAGGTTTCTTCAGGGATGTCCCTCGATGTCTCCCATTTTGTCTTGATGGCTGCTTGAAGATCTCCTTTGTAGTTTCATCCTTCAGTTTCCGAGTGTTGTACTTGAATTGAGGTCTATCACCAGCTTCCTTGAAGGCTTTTAACTTGATTTGGAAGGTTCCTTGCACTAGATAGTGGTCTGAACCTACATCTGCTCCTCTTCTTGACCTTGTGTTAAGTAGACTGCGTCTCCATTTTCTTGAGATTGAGATAAAGTCGATTTGATTTTTAGTGTGTCCATCTGGTGAAATCCATGTCGCTTTGTGGATATCCTTGTGCCTGAACACACTGCCTCCAATCACCAAATCGTTGAATGCACAGAATTCTGCAAACAATTCTCCATTCTCATTCATTTCACCTAGCGCCTCTCGACCCATGGTTAGTTCTCTTCCCGTGTTGTCCCCTCCCAGTTTGGCATTCATGTCGCCCATTAGAATTTTGATATCGCCAACTGACGTCTTGTCCAGTGTTGATTGAAGTTGTCTGTAGAATTCCTCCTTTTTCTCTTGCTCTGCATTATTTGTAGGTGCATAACATTGTATGATTGTGACCTTTCTTCCTTTTGAGTTGAATCTTGCTGTCATGATCCTGGAGGAGATTGGTTCCCACTGCATGAGAGCCTTCGATGCTCTTGAGGACATCATGATAGCCACTCCCTCAGTGTGCTCGTGGTTGGCGTCTGGGTGACCGGAGTAGATTATTGATTCTCCAGTTGACAGTTTGGAGAGTCCACTCCCATTCCATCTGCTTTCGCAAATCCCAAGCACTTCGATGTTATACCTTCTCATCTCCTTTGCAATCTGGGCTGCCTTACTGGGTTCAAACATCGTGCGGACATTCCATGTCCCCACGTTTACTTTCGCTTTCATCGAGAGAAGACACATCGGCCAATTGGCTTCCCGAAGGCTTTCACCAACTGGCGTCATTTCGCCTCTCCGATTCCAGCGGGGAATAAGTTTGTTTTCATTTTTTATATTTTGTTTGTGCTTTGAAGTTTCTTTAGCGGTTAGATTTGTTTTACGGGGTAGGGTTGCTAGCCCTATGCCCAACCTTCCCTCTTTACCCGGGCTTAGGACCGGCTAGTAACTAGTAAACTAGTTAACCAGGCGAGGTTGCACCATGTGTACAGATAGCTATATTGCTAACATTATCGTTGACATTCGAGCAGAAAATTGGACGTGAAAGCTATCTCGGTTATTATGCAGTATTCACTTCATGGATCTGAATCTGTCCTA